ACACACACACACACACACACACACACACACACACACACACACACACATACCAAGGCTTCAGATGCTCTCAGATCTGGAAATATTGTTCCTTTCAGCCTATTTTCCACCAAACATTCCACGTGATGAAGCCATGTTTACAGATCTGTGTCTGAAATCTTTGGGAGACATGGTGAGTAGATCAGATATTTTGAATCTTGGAGATAAATGGGCTCGTGCGCTTCCATTATGTACCTTGAGGCCTGGGTCCTGAAACCCCAACTATGGAGGCAAATAAATAAAGTGAGGACCGGCACAGAGATATAAGTACCCAAAACTGAAAATGGAGCTTCACTGATGACCCTGATGACCCAGATCCTCTCTCTGTGTCTATTATGTATAGCTCAGGGAGCAGTGATAGCCAGTCTTGGTGAGAGATCTCTGTAAGGGAATGTCTCCATCTGTAGACACGTAGGGAAGGAAGATGCTGTGTGCTTTTGTGCACACTGATCAATTGCTTGAACCTGGACTGCCCCCTTCCCACAAAGAAGGCTTTGCTATGCTTCTGAACCTCATCAGGAGGAAAGCTTTGCCAGTTCCACAGGGTCCAGCTACTGGGGACCTTGACACATCTAGGCCCATGTCAACAATACACACTCACTCGGGGATTCCTCTGCTCCCTACAGACTCCTGTGTGAGCTAAGCTGCTCTTGGAACATGGACTCTAGGTGCATCTTTTTAAAGAAAGATAGTAAAGGGGACTTTGTTCAGAGACTGTGGCCCATGGCAAGGAACTCCAGGCTAAGCCATGGAATGAATCCAGGTCTGTCACACTGGGAATGATGACACTGGTGATTTATCGAAGGACTGATCAAAATCTGATGGGATGGTCTCAGAGGAATGAGGTCTGGGTTCAGGTTCACTGGTCACTGTCATCAGAAGACAAAATCAACAGGAAGAATTTCTGTTCAAGCGTGACTTAAAGCATGCTGGCTGGCAGGGAGTTCATGCATCCCTCAGAACTGGGATTATTCCAAACATGTGCCTCTCATGAGGGCCCCAAAGAGTCCTTTATTTTCATGGAGAGATTCTTGACCCAGTCCATATTGTATGTCTGTTTTACTCAGTTTCCCAAATAACTAAAGAAAGGGTCTAGAGATGTGCATGCCCCACACAGGAATTTTCCCAGGCCAGATCAAGAAGTGGTATAGGTTATTCTACCCAAATATAATTAGTACAGCGCAGTCCACAGCCTACTTTTGGTAGGTAGGGGGTGGATATGTAAGGTAGCTGGGGCCCAGAGGAAAAGGGAGAAGCTATATGTGAAGACCCAGAAGTGTCTTCTACGGACCCAGAAGCATGTTGATTCAGAATGGTCTCACGCCCCAAAAGACTGGGTTTTTTCAAGAACCTTGAGGTCTCCTGAGCTGGTTATCCGTTGTCAGTAAAGGTGTGATGCCAAGGAAGACATGTTCTGGGAGCAGGCATACTCAGGTTTTGACAGCCTGTCTTGGGGAAGCTGTTGAAATCTGTGACCTCAGTAAGTTTCTGATAGAGGCTCCCTAGAAATGCAGATATAACTGAGACCTCAGAATTGAATTTAGATTTTCATTTTGGTTTGGTTGGTTGGTTAAGGGGTGGGGTTTTTCTTTTCTTTCTTCCTTTTTCTTTTCTGTTTTTCTTCCTTTCTTGTAAAAGGATTGAAATACAGGCTGGGAGTACAGCTCAGTTGGTACTCTGCTTGTCTAGAATGCATGAAGCCCTGTGTTCAAGCCCCAGTGCTGTAGAAACTAGGCATGGTGGTGCAGGGTTGGGATAGCAGAATCCTCACCTATATAGAAATTTCAAGGCCAGCCTGGGATGCATCACAGCCTTCTCTATTAAAGAAGGAAGAAAAAGAGGAATTATAATTATTGAATCAAAGCTGTGGAAATGTCCCAGTGGATGGGAAAAGATGGTTACCATGGAAAAATTTCAGTATTGTCCAGCTCTTGGGCTATGTGCTGCTGGGCTTAGGACTCTGGTAAAGACGTTACTTTTGCTACCAATGAGATCTTCAACTGAGATTGCTTTGTCATTGCAGGAACTGACATTGTACAGTGGCTTATGAAGAACCTTTCCATCGAGGACCCAGGTACTTGACCCTTGACCTTGCCTTTACCTCCCTTGGTGTTGGTACAGATGCCATGGTCAACTTCTCCAGGTCCCCCCTCCCAACCCTGTACAGTCTTGAAAAGAAGGCTTATCACTGTGGGGTCCAGGATGTGGGATCATTGTATTTGCAGATAGAAGTCATTTATTTTCTCCACTGAATGTCTATCATCACGTGGAAATCACCCTTTGAGGAAACGAGCCATGATTTAGAATGCCAAAGAGCTCAGAACAATAGCGTGGGAAATGAGATGAATTCTCGTTAGCCGTAGCAATTAAAGATAAGTTGTAGCCCTGTCACCAAACAGCCTTCTAGAAGCAGCTCTTAAAATTAGATTGCCTGATCCACAATTAAGATGTTTAATTATTTGCTAAAACTCCTTCTGTTTTCCGCTCCTGCAAGAAGTGAGAAAATGATTTTTTTTCAACTCTAATTGTGCATTTCAACTAGGCAAATCGTACCAGAAAAAAATGGCAAAACCCTGACCAATGAGACGGTTTCCACCACTGCCCTTCCATCAGAAAATATTCAGGAAAATGTCTAATTCACAGTCTAATTAAAAATGGGGAGATGCTCCAGAAAGAAAGAGGGGGGGAGAAAAAATGAGAGAAAGAAAGAACGAGAGAAAGAAAGGAAGAAACTTCTAGGCTTTTCATCAGTGTGCTGTGAGTTTATGGTGTGTTTGGTTTTTTCTGCATTCAGCATACATTCCCTCATCTGGCTTTACCGGTGCTATTAACACTCAAAGATCCCACTTACAGTTATCTACTCTGGGGTTCCCATTAGTGCCAAGTGAATCCAGAGCCTGTTCTTACTGGGTGAGCATTCTGCCACTGAGCTACATATACCCAGACCTCTGCTCTGATGTTCTTAATAGTCATCTTTGGGGGACATAGGTACCATAAGTTAAGTGAGCCCCAGACTCCATGATTTCTTAGAATTTACATGGAGTGCTCACAGCAGATGTTGGGCCTAGGATTCTGATTCTCTGCTGAAATCGATATGCCAACCCAGGCTCACATTCTAACCTGACATCATTAATCTATAGTTGAGCGGACAACAATGCAGTTTCAAGTAATTCAATTAAATTAACTTGACAGAAACAAGCAAGTGGTTGCCAGAAGCGACCCTGGCCCTTTTTACAGGATCAGTGACCACTCCGGCAACTAACAAAGATTCCTAAGTTGAGTGAAGTTTTTAGCTCACAAGGAAAGCCTTCCCTTGGTGTTTCCATCGAACAGTCTGGGCTTCTGGTTGTCCACCTGTGCAACCAGCCTGGACAGGCATCTAGCCATTTGGTGACATTCATCTGAAGTCCCTGCTTCTTTTTATTGTCATGTTAACCTAAGGCCATTTCTCATGGCAGAATTTGCTAAAAGCACTTCCTTACCCTCCTGAAGTAACCATTGTATTATTTATTATCAACATTATTAATATTCTGAGAACTCTAACCCAGCTAATTTAAGTGAGACTCCTGTGGCCCTGGCATGAGCAACTGCTAGGGGGGTCCAGACTGATGAAGGGCACATGGACAAAGGTCTGCTCTTCTCTGACACCTTTGGGGGGACATCAAGATGTTGGGACAGGTTTGGGCTTCTGAGAATTGGCCAGGAAAGAGATGCTAAAACAATTTGCCAGATAATAGAAGAGGAAGCCACAAAGCACAGGCTGGGAAGCTGGTCTGTCCAATGCTGGCCCTTCTGTCTTTTCTCCTTTTCCATCTGTCAAAGCAAAAGCATCTCTAAGAGTTTTAGCTCCAGCATTAGTGGCAAAACATTGCCTTCTTTCAGGATTGTGATCTTCCATCTTGCATGGAGAAGGGCAAATGATAGAGCTTTCCCTCTTACTAGACCTGGCATTCTTTCCTTTGTTTGTGTTAGGGCTTTGGTTCGTTGGCTGGTTGTTTGGCTGGTTGGTTGTTTGGCTGGTTGGTTGTTTGGCTGGTTGGTTATTAGTTTTACTATGTAGCCCAAGGTGGCTTTGACCTCTCAGTTGACCTGTCTCAGCCTCCTGGGTGCTGGGATGGCAGACCTGTGCCATCCCACCTGGCTCGTGGTTCTTGAGACATACACATGGACTTCACGGTATCCAGAACTTCATCCTTGAAGTCAACTAATGTTGGGTTGAAAATATTTGTTACAAAAATGTATTTATGGTCAACAAATAGAGACATTTTGTTATTCCCTAAGCATATAACAGTGGTTTCCATGGTACTTAGACTGTGTTTAGATTGTGTTAGGGATCAAGAGTAGCCTAGAGGTGGCCTGAAGCTTACAGGAGAGTATCCAGATTATTCAAACGTGATGCTATTTGATATCAAGACTTGAGTATCCATATATTTTGATCTCCATAGGGAGCCTGAAACAAATTCTACATGAGCACATAGGGTCAGCAATAGAGAATTTTAAAAGCAAACTTATCATCAGGAAGTAGGTAAAATAAAACATCATTTATTCTGAGTCCACCTATGGTGGGTAATACTTCCAAGGGGACTTGGTGATTCTTAGAAAGCAAAGCACTTGGGCTGTAGTTAAGGTTGATGAATACAGAAAAGACAAATGACCTTAAAATGCACGGCTTATAAAACTGGTCACTGTTAGAGACCCTCAGAACACATCTAATTCCATGCCTATAACTTACCTACCTTCTAACCAACAAAAAGTACTTTGAGGTTTGGGGAGAGTCTTAGGTGAAGTAGGAATATTTAGATCCCACCCTCCCCATCCTGTATGGGCTCCTTTCAAAATAAACTAAAATCTTAACTACAGATGAAAATATATTTTTGGCTGGGGTTGAGATATGGAAGCAGCAAGTTGATTTAGGCAGAAACACTCTTTTTCCACCCTGTTTGTCACCTGGGACACTTCCCAGCCCACTGTCCTTCCTCTGATTTTCTGGGAAAGTGAGATCTTGCCCTGGTCCATCAGAGAAGGAGAGGCACTGACCTCATCAAGGGAACTGTCATATCACAAGGACCTGGACCACAGGACTGACTGCACCCAGGTACCACGGATGATAAACCATGAGATCTCTGACTGAGGATCATCCCGGCACCAGTCACTGCTAAGCGCTTGTGAGAGATACCTCACTTCCTTAGGTACTCCTTGGTCTATATCTTGAGTCGAGATCTGAGTGTTTTGGAAGACTGTGGGGAATGAGTGGTTAGGCATTGTCAGATCCTCAGAGGAGGCCAGACTCACAGTAGTCCTTCTTAATTGTCAGCATCCTCCCATCCTCACCATCAGCTGGGGAAGTTATCATCAGCTACGTCCTCTACAGCGTAACGCTGCAACAATTTAATATAGTTCCTTGCGTTGTGGTGACCCCTCCAACCAGGAAATTATTTTTGTTGCTACTTCATAACTGTAATTTTGCTACAGTAATAAATAGTAATGTAAATATCTATCCCACCCCCCCCAATGGTCTTAGGTGACCCTTTGAAAGGGTCATTTGACTCCCCAAAGGGGGAGTCATGACCCACAGGTTGAGAACCGCTGCTCTAGAGGGCTAGGTGACACATGACCACTGGTCACCTTTGCTAAACCAGTGCATGCTTCCCTGAATGACCTGCTTCCTCATCTTTTCTCTCCTTGCAGTTGAAGCAATACACCTGGGAAGCCTTATTGCTGCCCAGGGCTACATCTTCCCAATCTCAGACCATGTTCTTGCCATGAAGGACGATGGCACCTTTTACCGTTTCCAGGTAAGCCTACTGGGAGGATCCTTCTGCCCATCTCTATGTGTCTTCAGACTAGAACTCTTACAATAATGAAGCATGTTTAAGAAAGTGTGTATCCATCCTGAAGCACTGGAAAAATCTAAGAGATGCATTAACTTAGCCACTGGCTGAGCCCCTTAAAGAACAGTTAAAAGGCCCTCACTAACAGACTGTGGTATTTGGGGACACTGTCTAAGCCCCTTGGAGAATATGATCATAGAACCTCTTAGATATCTTAAAAATACCAGAAATTCATTTTTCACAGCTCTGGGGGATGGGAAGTCCAAGTCCAAGGTGCCAGCATAGTCAGTGTCTGCTGAGGGCGGTAGGAGTATTCTGTATTTCATAGATAGCACTTGCCAGCTGCTGAAAGAAATGAAGAATCTCTCTCAAGCCTTTTTAAAAATAAGGACAGTAATTTTACTTATGAGGCCTCCCTCTCCATGTCCCCTTTACCTCACAAAGTCCCCATTTCTCTCATCTTAAAAAGGGGGGGATGTATTTATATTTTATTTTATGTATGTTAGTATTTTGCCTGAATGTATGTATAAACTATATGCTTGCCTAGGGCCCACAGAAGACAGAAGAGGGTTTCAGATGGCCTCTAACTAGAGTTACAGATGGCTATGAGGCACCACATGAGTGCTGGGAATTGAATCCAGGTCCTTTGCAAGATTACGCAGTATTCTTAACCCCTGAGCCGTCTCTCCAATCCCAAGACCCCATGTCTTCCAAACATCTCCTGGAGGACTAGGGTTTGGGTGACAAACAGATATCATCCCTTATTTCTTCTGGGAGAAAAGCTGTTACCCAAGTGGACACCACCCATCTTACAAGGGAGAGGCAGGGACACTCAGAGAATGAACTCGGCTTTGGTGACCTGGGAAGCTGAGCCTGTGTGAGCCTGAGAGCACAGTCTTTGGCTTGTATCACCCAGAGTGAGTGCTTGCCTGCTCCATGCTCATCCCCCTGATCCACTGCTAGATCTTCTCCTCCTTCTGCCTCAGAGAGAGTAGAGACAGAGAGCCTGGCCTATGTCAAAGTCTAGGCCAAAAGCTTCAGGAAACAGTTCTTCAGAGGCATGAAAGAAGAAATGGCAGGATACAGAGTGTCTGCCAACAACTTAAATTTCACACTTTTATAACTCTAGGCCCCTGGTTCTGATGCCATGTGTTCTTTTTCAGGCTCCTTACTTCTGGCCTTCAAATTGCTGGGAACCCGAAAACACGGACTATGGTGAGAACTGATCATGTGACCCATACTTCCTGTTATCCCCAGAAGTTTCCAAGACAAATGCTTGGCACCTGGTCACCACCATGGTGCTAGGGAAAAGGGGTCTTGACTCGGCTAAGTACTTAGTGACACACATATTGAATTCCCTGTTTCGAATAGTAAATGAAAGCACAGCACACTGAGAGGTGCAGTTATCCCAAGAGAAGGGGCAAAGGGAATAGGTTTTGTCACCAGTGCCTGTGCAGTGGAGCTAGAAGAGACAGGACCCCATGTGAAAGGGGGAGGGGTTACTGTTTGCTCTAGGAGCACAGTTCCAGGAAGGGCTGTGTCAAGAAGCTGCCTTCCCCTGGCCTTTTCTGTTCTCACATACTTATAAAAACTTATTATAACTCATTGGTGATTTTGATAGTTGAAAGTTAAGGGAGGAGAGAGAGAGAGTGAGAGAGAGAGAGAGAGAGAGAGAGAGAGAGAGAGAGAGAGAGAGAGGGAGGGAGAGGGAGAAACTAGAGAGGGATTGATGGACAGCTGTCACTTTGGACTACAGAAATAGTTGTAAACAGACTATCTTGTGTGTTGTATGGATGCTCTACCTGTCAATTAAAAACCTATGGCCTATGGCTTAGGCAGGAAATAGAGGTGGGACATTTGGGAGGAAAAAGAATTCTGGGAGAGAGAAGGCGAGCAGGTCACTGAAAAGAGGTGATGAGACAGACACATGCTACCTGAGCATAATAGGTAACCAACCATGTGGCAGAATATAGGAAAAACAACTGGGTTATTTTAGTTATGATCTAGTCAGAATATAGCCCAGCTATATGGCCAAGGTATTTGTCAATATATTTTGAGTCTAAGTCTTAATTCTGGAAGCATGGGGCTGGGAGGAAGAACCAGTTTTAACTACTACAAAGAGTGAAGTTGAAAGTTACCTTTATCCAGGCAGAGCCCAGTTAGATCTGTTCACACTCTTAGTGGAGACTGTTCTCCATGAACTAGTTCTCTGAAGAAATTATATTGTCCCCAACTTGAGGTAATGATCTCTAGACCTAGAAAGTTCATATCCTCACAGGATTACATTTGTCTGAATTCCCAGTTTATAGTTATACCCATGAGGGCAGGAGATGGTCTGTTCTGTGTATTTGTATTACACCCAGGGTGGGTTCTGTGGCATAGATCACATGGTGATCAGTAAATATTTACTCACAGTATGGTTGGGGTTTTGTTACTTAAGATCCTCTTGCTTGTTTAGTTTGGATTGAAGTGGGCTCTCTTACAGCACTGGGATTGAACCCACAGCCTCATATATGCTAAGCTACACTTCAGTCTGGTTCTAGTTTCTTTTTACAAGTTGCCACACAACATTTACAGTTACTTATTTTCATCTATGCATATGTGCCTGCTTGTCTGTGTATGTGTACCTCATGTGTGCAGTACACATGGAGGCCAGAAGAGGGCATCAGATACCCTGAAGCCAGAGTTACAGGCTGTCATGAGCCACTGTACATAGGTACTGGAAACCCATTTGTGATCCTCAGGAAGAATAAAAAATACTCTTAACTGTTGAGCCACCTCTCCAGTTCATGGTTTTGGTTCTTCATTGAAGGTGATGAACAGCTCACCCAGGAAACAGTAGAGTTTGAACTCAGATCTGAATGAGTCCAGCCCCTTCCATTTCCTGCTCCACCACATGACCTACTTGGAGACCCCAGTGTGTGTGTGTGTGTGTGTGTGTGTGTGTGTGTGTGTAGGACAGGGTGGCACCTGCTGACCATCTGTCCTGGGAGACCACTGTGGCCCTCCCAAAAGGCTGTCCCCTATACAACGGTTGATCAGGTCCAGGAAGGCTTCCAGCTCAGACTAGGACCCATGTTTGGCCATAAAACAAATTCTTCAAGGCTGCTCAGGGCAGCCCATCTCTTCATTTGAATAATTATAGCTCAGCTTACCTAGCGTGAGCCCCTCAAGCAGGTCCAGGAGGTGGAGTCAGAGCAGACATCTGGATCAAAGAGGAAAGAATCAACCATCTTACCTATTGAGTACAGAAGGACAGATTTTTTTTCTCTCCTTTTCAGATTTTTCTCCCTTTCAGAATTTCCTCTATGGACCTCTATTTCAGAACATTAGTGGGCAGCATTATCGGAGATGGAACATCAGATTATCTCAGGATCTCCTTAACATAAAATTATTTTGAATTCCTGAGCCTCGGTCTACTGCAAAGTCTCAAGTGAGAAAATCAGGGCACGGGATATAAAAAGAAAAGAGCCCTGAGACAGTTTAGTCAGAAAGTCAGCTTTCCAGGAGAGAATTGAGCAAAGAGGACCCCCAGAATCAACTAGTCCCACTCCTAGTGATCTCTATGCCTTAGAACCTAAAGTCACAACACGATCATTGCCCGGTTCCTGGTTCTGCTTTGTTGAGACTGAGTGAAACAGGTCAGATTGTTCTGTGGCAGAGTAAGGTGTCAGCACTGTCCTGGGGAGATGTTGTCCCTGGCATGGTGGAGGATGACATTGGCATTACTTCAGTGATGCCAAATTCTTACTACTTGATGGTCCTCTCCCCAGAAGGAGGCAAGACTGGAACTAAGAATTCAGGGAAAGAATGAATTAGATTGATCAAGGACTGGAAACTTTTATTCATTCAACAAACGTTAGCTAATGACATACTCTCCATTAGCATCTGTGTCACAGACCTGACCAAGTCACAGTCTTGCTGGCCGAGCAGGAACAGCGGCATGATGGGACAAGGAAGGTGATGAATATGATGAAAAGGTTGAATCTGTCAGGAGAGGTGTTGTGGATTTTGTTTTGTTTTGTTTCTGCCTTTACTGCTGTGGCAAAATGCCTAGCCAGAGAGACTTGAGTGATTGTTTGGCTTTTCTGGTAGAAAGGCGTGGCTGCAGGGCGGTGAGGCAGCTGGTCACGTTGTATCTGCTGGAGCAGAGATGGCTGAATCCTGGTGCTTAGTTTGCTGTCTTGTTTTGTTTAGAACAGGACCCCAGTTCGTGTGATGGCTCTATCCACGAGTAGAGGGGGGTCTCCCCTACCCAGAAAGGCCCTCACAGAAGAGCCCAAAAGTTCATCTCCTAGGTGACTCTAAATCTTGTCAAGTTAACAATCAAGATGTCAGACCCAGGCAAGTTATATAGTGAATGTTCTAGTAGTTAAATAAATAAGCCCTTTAGAATGCCCAGCAATGAGAAATGACTTGCACAAGTCGTCTGCAAAATAAGGATCCTAACTAACCAAGTAGACTTATCGTGAGGACTGTGTGAAGTCCACATTTGAAAGGTCCCTGAGGCAGAGCCAGGTAAGCTCAGTATTAGCAGGTGCTGTTGTCATGGTGACTAATCGTGAATGGGACAGGTTTTATGTACATTGAAATGGATCCATTCCAGATATCTCTCTTTTTTTTTTTTTAAGTTTTCTATGCTTAGTGCATGTGAAAATACACAAGGACAACTTCCAGGAGTCAGGTCTCTCCTTTCTTTCACCACATGGACTCCAGGGACTGGACTCAAGTTGTGGGACTTGACAGCAAGCACCTTCACCCACCAAGTCACCTCACTGACCCGGTTCCTTGTGTCTTAATAGTACATGAATCTGTTTTCTATTTGGTATGATAGGCACGAGACTTTTTTTATGGTGACACAGTTGAGCAGACACATCCAAGTGAAGCTGGGGTGAGGTTTGGAGGGAGCGATAACTGTTTTTACTAAAAACATCAAACAAATAGGACAAGCCACCGTGGGGCTTCGCATTCCCCAGAGGTCCTCATGCAGGACTGACTCTCACCACTAGAGGTCACTGGAGCCAGAACTCCAGAGATGGTTACCCAACAGTACAGACAAGCTCCTAAAAGCCCAGGAGCGGAGTGCCTGCTCCCTATAACAGGCTCCCAGTGTGGCATCAGCCACAGGGAAGCAGGCTGGAAGTCCAAGACTGTGGGCTCGTGCCCAGCAGCTGCAGCTCGAGCTTTGTACTCTTTGTTCAGTACCCCAGAATCTGTCTGGCCACTCTGACCCAGGTTGGAAATGTCTTGGTTTGATCCCACCTTCATAAAACTCTTAGCCAAAATCTGTGTTGGCCCCTCCCGGATCTATTCATTTTGCAGGGGGTGGGACTTGTATATATGTGTGGGTATGGGTGCAGAGGGGACGTCTTCTTGTACGAATGTGGAAGCCAGGGGAAAGCATCAGGTGACCCGCCCTATCACTCTCTGCCATATTCTTTGATCCAGGGCTTTCTCGCTAAACCTGGAGCTAGACTTGTGAGCAGTGAGCTCAGCAAGCCTCCTGGCTCTGCTCCTGACATCCCTGGAGTTATGGGACTACTCAGACACGCATATCCAGGTATACTCATTGACATGGGTTCTGGGGATTCAAACTGTGGTCCTCAAGCTGGGACACCAAGCATCCTTACCCACTGAGGCACACCCTCCCCCACGCCTCTGAGTTCCACATGTGACCAGTAGCAAATGCTTTGTCAAAGCCGCTCCCACCTCCATTGGCTTACCAGGGATGGAGATGAGGCAGGTGGCGTGCCAAGCTTTTCCTGCATGATTGTTCCAATCCCACAGGCTGTCTGTGATGCAAGGAGCCAAGCGGAGTATTTTGTGCTCAGCGGACAGTTCTTTATCTGGCACGATGCAGAGTTCTGGTTGCTCAGTTCATTGCAAGAGCTAGTGAAGTGAGACTCAGAAGATGTGGCATGCCCTCTAGATCAGCTGTGGGCTGAGACCCCTTTGGGAGTCAAATGAACTTTTCACAGGGGTTCGCCTGAGACCATCAGAAAACACAGATATTTGCATTACAATTCACAAATGATGGCAAAATTACAGTTATGAAGTAGCAATGAGTATTTTATGATTGGGGGTCACCACAACCTGAGGAACTGTACTGAAGGGTCACAGCATTAGGAAGGTTGAGAACCACTGCTTTAAATGAATACAAGTTATACAAAGGGACACTCATGTAGCAGCCTATGAAGTAAGACTAAGGACTGTCGATCCCAAAGACTTGGTTTTCTTTCTTAAACAAAGCATCCAGTTTGAATACTATTAAACTGCGTTAAGAATTTTTGAAGCCACATGAATATTGGGCCCTCCTACATTTTTATTCCTTATTTTCCAGATGCCTCATCTGTAACAAATTCACCAGCAATTACCTCAGTCAACACTCTTGATTCGTTAGCTCATTCTAAGCCATTTACCAAAGTCTTCAGAGACACAACCACTCTTTCTTTTTAACAGTAATTTCATTGATACAGAAAGTCCTCAGTGTATGGTAAGGTTATATCTTGATTTTTCCCAATGTAACCTGGAAAGATCCCAAGTCAGATACACACCCAGCTGCCAGGCACACTCACTCAGCACATGCCACGGCGTTCATTCTTTCCCCTTGTGAGCTTGTGGGCACCATGGCTTGCTGCCACTGCCCAGCCTCCCAAAAGAGTGACATATCCCACATCTCTAGCCTAGGAAGGGATCAAAATCTGCAATCCGTAACTGTGGCTTCTGGTAGATGAAGCCAGCCTTCCCACAGACGTTAAATAGAAAAATCATTAAGTCAAATCAAAGGTCTGGGGAGTGTGTGTGTGTGTGTATGTGTGTGTGTGTGTGTGTGTTGTTAAGCAGATTTGAAAACAACCACAGCTGGCCCTGCTCAGCACAGTTTGTAGAATACAGAATTGTGGACATACTAGAAAGAAGATTAGGAGCCACAGGTTCCCAGCAGCTTAAGCTGCCAGGGGGGGAAAAAAAGTTGTTTCAACCAGCAAGGCAAGGCATTTAGTACAGAACATAAGAAAGGCATCAGGTCACTGGGCAAGCCCAGGCTGTCTGTGGTCTGTCCTCATGGTCACTCACAACAGTCATCCTCTGCTTTCCTTGGGTCCTCTCCTTGGCACTAAAAAAGGAAGGCAACCTTGGAGAAGCAGAGACAGAGGAAACAGTGACAGTCGTGTTTGAGAAAGGTTCTGATAGTGTGGGGTGGAGAACCCTTCCTTAGCTGGAATGGACAGGCCTATGTTGTCTTTTTTTTCCTCCTCTTTCCCTGGCAGAACATGCTTAAGGACCAGGGGCAGGGCAACAGCTGAGTATGCCAGCCTGCATCCCTAAAGAGCCTTCAGCCTAGAGCAGGGGACACTCCCGTCAATAGGAAGACAGTGAGACTGGAGTGTGTCGTTGAGGGTATATGGTTGCTCTCTGGAACAATGGGCTAGCTTTTCAGATATCAGTGGGGCTGTGCTGGGAAGATGTTCTGGTGTAAAATGCTTGCTATGCAAGAGTGAGGGCTTCAGTTCAAGCCCCTTACCACATGAAAAGCACACACTCGTAAACCAGTGCTGCGGATGCAGAGACTGGACCACCACACTAGTGACGGCGCTCACAGCAAACCCTGTGTCCCACTGAGAGGCCATGTTTCAAAACACAAGATGGATAGCATCTGAGGAAAGACACTAAACGCTGACCCCTGGCCTCTACATGTGGAGCTAAAATGGTGGCCTCCTAAAGCTTTCGGGAGAAAGGAGAAGAGGTTTACAAGACAAGGTGGGATTATAAAGGGCCATATTTGCAACCCTAGAGACAAGATGCAGTGAGGCCATGATCATGCTTGTAAAAGGTTACTCTAGGCAGAGGGTGTTCAGTGCACCCTGAAGGGAAGAAGGGGGGGATGTCAGAGGCAGTGACGTCCACTTTGAAAAGCTCTTGGACAGCTGGGCATTAGCACGGTCTAGGTGGGCGTCTTAGTTAGGGTTACTATCACTCGCATGAAACATCATGCCCAAAAGCAACCTGGGGAGGAAAGGCTTATATTTCCACATCACTGTTCATTATTAAGGAGGTCATGATGAGAACTCAAACTGGGTAAGGATCTGGAGGCAGGAGCTGATGCAGAGGCCATGGAGGGGTGCTGCTTACCAGCTTGCTCATCATGGCTTGCTCAGCCTGCTTTCTTATGGCACCCAGGACCACCAGTCCAGAGGTGGCACCACCCATAATGGGCTGGGTCCTTCCCATGAATTATTAATTAAGAAAATGCCCCCCCCCAGCTTGCATACAGCCTGGTCTTATGTAGGCATTTTCTTAACTGAGGCTCCCTCCTCCCTTTAGCCTGTATCAAGTTGACAAAAGGAGCCAGCACAGTGGGTGACTGGCTGGGCAGGCACATGCTGGCTTCATTCCAGTGCACTGCTGGGTTGATATGGTGATTGTTTCTCTTCTTCCTCAGCCATCTACCTCTGTAAGAGGACGATGCAGAACAAAGCAAGGCTGGAATTGGCTGACTATGAAGCAGTGTGTATGAGGGGGGGTCGGGGTGGGCTCCCAGGCCTGGTGGGAGGAGAGATATCCCTGTGGTTTTGTAGAAGTCTGCATTGTTTCCTTTTCTCTCCACCCCCCAACCCCCACATTCCCCACAGATGGTCAGAAGGATATCTCTTCTGTTTCTTCTTTGTCACCGGCTTCTCTTGCATGACAGTCAAATTGCATCTTTATAGAAACAACTCCCAAACTTCAACAGCTAAAACTAAGCAGCTCAAGTGGGTCCTGGTGACAACACCTGGGATCCTAGCACTTAGGAGACTAGGAGATGGAAGTATTGTGAGTTTGAGGGCAACCCGGGCTGTGCTAGCCTGGGCTATGCCAGCCTGGGCTATGTGGTGAGACCTTGTGGTGAGATATGTCCATCAAGACAGACAGACAGACAGACAGACGATTGACCGACTGCCCAACAGATAGATGCATAACTCAATATAAAAACAGGCACAGGACTTGTACAGATATTTCTCCAAAGAGGACAAAAGATGACAAACACATGGAAAGATGCTCAACAACACCGTTAGCCGTTTGAGAAGCAGATTAAATCCAGGGTGAGGTGCCATTACATGTTTTAGAACGACTAACATGAAAGATAGAAACGACACCAAGTGACAGTGAGCATGTGGTACACATTCTTTTGTGTTCCTGGGAGAAGAGGAAAAATGGTACGCTTTGGCAGTTTCTTATAAAGCTGAATATACAGTTATCACACATAATCAAGTAGAGAAATCAGAACCTATTTCACATATAAAAAACATGTTACTGTCCACATTAGCTTCGCATGTGCTACCCCAAGGCTGAAAGCAACTCAAATACATCTTAATAGACAAACGACTAAACCCTGTATGTACATCCATACAGTGGAATAATAGCTTTCAGTAAAAGGACCTGGTCCTTGTTATACATACCTACATGGTGGGTGTTGAAGGCAACACACAGAGTGGCAGAATCCAGTCTTAAGCCATGCACTCTACTGTTTGATACTCTTGCAAAGACAGCACATATATCATGAGGGGAAACAGATCAATGGCTGTGGTTACAGATTGGGTTGGGGTCTGAGCACACAGTGCTAGCCCAGGGGGCATGGAAGGGGGCTCTGCTATACAGCTATGTACATGTGTTGGGAATTCACATTTTTTTTTCTGGAAGGTCAATTGTCAGATTTTCTGTACAATAAGTTTAAGATCAAAATTTTAAATTTCACCTTTATATCTCTCTCCTGAGGTTGGTAGTAGAGACAGAATCCAAGAACAAAATTCAATCCAGGAAATAAGTCAAGGCACCTGTCCCAAGGGAGATCTTCCTCTGTCCACTTCATCTATCTTTCTCCATAAGATGTACCTCCTTGCAAGAATTAGACATCCCACTTCCCCACTTGGGTCTAGGTCCGCTTGGTAGAGTTTAGAAAAAACTGAGAACATAAAGACTCATAGGTCATTGGGAATATATGCTTAATTTCTGATTGCATAACTTCCCCCATACCATGTTTCACGGGCATCACATAGAGCCAGGGAAATCAGTTACATGTTCACGTACCTTTGTCGCCATCTCTCACGATGCACTATGTGTGGTACAGGCATTGCTGAACTGAACCAGTCAAAACGCAACAGCTAGGGGATGAGAAGCACTGTTAAGGGTAGTGGAGACACTCAAGAATTAACAGCATCTTCAGAGCCACTTTTCCTAAATCCCTCTTTTCCTCAGTCTTCCAAAAGAAGCATGACAAGGCTCCTCTCCACCAGGCTCTCCCTCCTCTGAGTCCCAGTGCCCAAATATAGCGAGGCAACTAGAGCATGGCTCCCCTCTCCACTACCCGAAGGTAGATGTATAACAAGGGATAGCAGGCCTTAGGCTTGCCATGCTGCCTTCTTTGAGCCTGTTGGTACCACAGACTTGTTTGGGGGGGCAGGGGAAGAGTAGAGAAGGATGCAGGAGACTGTCTAGGACCTTAGAATCTGGCTATGGCTTGCACATTACATCACATGTGATGTGACTGTGTGGCTGTCTCCAAACCTGGAACAGTGTGTCTGTGGCTTAGTGTCCTAGAAGCCGGGCCTTACCTGTTTATCCTAAGGTCCCAGTGGTCACATCAGCCCTCTTTATAAAACCAGTGGGTTTACTTGCTACATACACAAGGCAAACAGCTTTGCTACGGCCACGTGATGTCCCTAGGACATGTCATCAAATTTTCCAAATCTTCTGTTGCTCTCACCCAGGTTTCTGTGCCTTAGAAAATATATTACAACTTCTGAGGTGTTTTATTTAGTTCTCTGTCCTCTTGCCCCGCAGTGGTCTGTTCTGATAATTGCAAAGCATACAACATAAAGAATTTTTTCCAGGATGAAGTTCTGCATAAAAATGTTCAGAAACTAGAAATGCATTTTGTTCCCAAAGCATACTAATTTTATTAAAATTTTCTGGTTACATATACTCTTTGTAGGAAACAAAAATGCGAACAGTAAAATTTTTTTTAAAGGAGAGAAAATGGCCTATGATTCTCCCACTAAGTTTTTTCTCCATATACATTTTTTCTATACATATTCTCTATTTATCTATATGCATTATATATATTATATATACATCTTTATATACATATATACTTCTAATCACAGACTGCAACGTCTAAGGAATCACTTTATATTATTAACGGACCAGATTGCCATTTTAATAGCTGCCTAGTATCCTACAGCACAGCAAAGTCACAGTCCGCCGTCTTCCCAAGTGACTGACCAGCTTTAAATATCACCAGCTGGACTTCCTACAAATAGCACAGGCATCAAAGGGATAGTTCTTTTAAAAGTAGCTGCACCCCAAGCCTTGGTAATAGGTGAGACCTTGTGTGTTCCTTAAATGAAGTTCCTTTTATATTAATAATCTACTAATGAGGATAATCAATTAGTGTTGGCATGAGATCTATGGAAATACATACCATAATACAGGCCCCGGTCTTCCATTAATCAGAATTAGGGGGATCATTAGAGGACCTGTCAAATTCCTGTGTTCACTCTCCTGGGGCTCCAGTAGAAAGGTTTGCAGGCTGAGAGAAAACCCTCTCCCCTTTCCCTTTTAAAGATGATCCTGGATGAAGGATCTTCCTTCCTTCCTTCCTTCCTTCCTTCCTTCCTTCCTTCCCTCCTTCCCTCCTTCCCTCCTTCCCTCCTTCCCTTCTTCCCTCCTTCCCTCCTTCCCTCCTTCCCTCCCTTCCTTCCTCTCTCTCTCTCTCTCTCTTTCCTTCTTTCCTTTCTTTTTTCATTTCTGATTTTTTTTCCTTCCGTCAACATCACAAACGGCCACTCTCTTTGGTCCACTTCTGAATTCTGACCTTAAAAAGTCCCCATGCAAAGCATTCTGGGTTCCCCTTTCCTGCAGCCTGCCAGCTTCCCAGTGGACGATTATCCTGAAGATTTCATCCCGAGTGTTGCTGTGGGATGACCACAACTTTCTTGTCTCAAAAGCCACCAGGCAAAATTCCCAGTAGCTTTCCTATCCAGCACTACGAGACTTGTGTTCTTGAAACAATAGTCCAGAAGAGATTAATCTGGTGGACCAGAGACTTCAGACTCAGTACACTTATAAATGAACATTAAGAGTTAAACAATTCATCAGAGCCTGGTGCAAAGTCAACCTGGGTTCGTGTCCAGTAGCTTCAGTATGGGACCCTGCTATTTTGATGCAAACAAACAAAAAAAAAGATGGCTGTCCTGTAATAAGCATAAGGGTCAATATATTAGCCTACGATGACTAATACCATCTTATTGATTTTTATGTCTCACCAGGAAAACTTAGCAAGACTCCAGAGGGCCTTTGCAAGGAAGTGGGAGTTCATCTTTATGCAAGCAGAAGCACAAGTAAAGTAGGTGAACTCTGCCGAGGCTTCTGGGAGAGAAAACTCTCTAGGGTCTGGAGATGCTGTGAGGGCATGGGGGCCAAAGTGAAGTTTTGAGCTAAATGAATCTCTCCCATCCCCAGGGAGAGACTAAACAAGTAGGACGATCTTGATGAACAGGTTTCATGTCTGAAACCAAAGTCTTGCTAGGACAATTTCATCAGACGAGGAGGATCCTTCCGAACGCAGAGCTAAAAGATGTACTTATTTGCCCAAGAGAGTTCCCATAAGACTTTCAGGATAAGAGACCGGGAAACACCAAGCCAGGTTCATTAGAGATCTTAATTTCATGGGTTAGCATGTTGAAACTTAGTCACTTTTTTCAACACTGTGATAGAAGCAACTTAAGAGAAGAAAGGTTCTTCTTTCTTTCAAGCATGGCTTGGGGAGGTTTCAATACATCATGGTAGAAGATGTGGTAGAATCCTTGGTGGTGGGAGTCTGTGGCAATGGCAACTATTTGCATCACGGAGTATCAGGAAGCCAATATTGCTAGACTAGAATTGGGCCTGGGCTATCCCTCCAAGAGCCTGCCTCCAATGACCCTCTAGCACTACCCAGACCCCACCTCTTAAGGACTTCACATTCTCCCCAAACAGTTCCGATAGCTGGGACCAGGTACTCAAAGTCAGAAGGACCGACAGGTTAACTCTTACCATCTTCCACATAAGAGCAAAGCTTAAAACTAATGGAAAAATAATGCATAGAATTTAGGCTTCTGGGTTCACTTGCTGAAGTCATGTTGTGAAGCATGAGGAGCTATGTCTTTCCTGGGCAGAGGTGGGTGTCTACAGGATCCCTCTGCCAGGACAGAGCTGACTCCTGTAAGCTTACCTCAGAGAACAGATATTCTGAGCTCAGGCTAACCCAGAAGGACCCAGTGTGAGCTTTCTTACATCCTCCCTTCCAATCTACCAAAAGGTTAAATCACTCATCTTCCACAGAGGACACAAGGCGGGAGGAGGAAAAAGAGAACATGGTTTCTCTATATCTTCACTCTTGGAAGCAGAATGGAGACTCCTTCTTCCACAAGGAAACATGAACCATGAGGAATGAATATCCCCCCAGCTCACAAACAGGGTTGTCACCCAGGTCCATGGAATTCTGGGACATGGAATTGCTATGACCAGGGTCTCCCTTCTTTCACAGTGATGATATCTGGTTAGCCAACTGTGCCAATAGTCAAAGGAGAACTCAGGAAGGATGGGAAGGAGGCTGAGCTGGGAGACGTGGGAATCTTTTCTCTGAGAATCCCTTGTAGGTGAACAAGCCCCATGTGGCTTCAGAGAAGCACTTTCACGCTTTGTGGTTGGCCCCACTCATTGCTGAGGGCTGTGTGAGGACAGGTCACCAATGGCCACCATTAGAAATGAACTGAGGTTGTCTAGCCCAGCAGTCTGTGTGCCCTCATCACTGTCACCTGTCTTTTCCCTATCCATGATGCCAGCCACTTGCTGGTTCTTCCTTCCCAATCCAGTATTCCCAGCTGTCCCCAAGGGAAGGCAGAGACCATGTTCTAGGTGCTGAGTGACTGGGTGAGACCACCTGGGAGGTAGAGGTTGGTAGTGGGGGAGAGCTGGCGGGAAGGAAGCTCCAGTTTGGATAGACTGAGGTAGATCTGAGTCTGCATGGTCACAAGTCCCTGGGAAGCAAAGAGAAGCATGGGTTAGCTCTCCCAGAATCAAATGGCACCATGTTATAAAGGAGGTGAAAACCGTAACTTCTTACAGATATGGTTTTTCTCCATTAACTTTTCTGATTAACGCCATGATTGCATGATAATTGTGGGCCATTTAAGTACACAGCAATTACCACAAGAATCACAGGGTGATTATGGGTTTATTTCAGTCCAGTAAACTAAAGGGCTCCCAAGAGAGATGAGAACCACAAGTCACACGGCAATTAATCCGAGTTGCATTTTACTTAGATGATATGGAGCGATACAAGCTTTGAGGTAGTGGGGGTGGGAGATGACTTCTGATCGGAACATACAGAATCTGGCTTTGCCATCCACAATTTCCCTTCTGCAGTTTTTGCTTTTCCCAACTGAAGCCAGTGATATTTGTCTTTAGGGTCTTGCCCCAGGCTAGGGCCACTACACTGTCTTTAGAAATCCAGATGGTTTAAGTGACTTTTAAAACGTGTAACCAGAGCGTTTTATAGATGTTTTGACTGCTGTTTAAATGTCCATGTTTGGGAAGGAGAATTGACACCCAGGTGCCTGTATCTCATCTCACCCAGTCACACATTCAGGGACAGACTGATGGAGAACTCAGAGCTTAGTCACCTAGATCTTAATACCTCACACAGGCAACTCTGCTTCTGCCCATTCTTCCTGTCTGCCCATCATGGTCAGTGCTCACAACTGCTAATCTGCAATCCAGCCGATAACAAGCTTTCCAGGGTCGTGTAGGTAGCAACAGTCTTAGGGGCACCTTACTGCCTAGGAGCAGAAGAGCTGAGAGGGCAGAAGAGAAAACGGCACAAACACCTCTCACTTCCTCCCTTTATTTTTTCAGGATTGACCGGAAAAAGGATAAGACAGAAAGAAAAATTTTGGATAGTCAAGAACGGGCCTTCTGGGATGTCCACAGGCCAGTGGTGAGGAAGTTCTGCTTGGTTCCCTGAGTCAGACCCACCTACCTTATTCTTTTCTCTTATCCAAGGAAATCACGTGACTCTTCCTTAGGAGAGTTGCTACGTTTTGTCAAGTTGTTCTTTCTATCTGTCCACATTCTCACCAAAGAACTTCTGGATCCTGGAGGAATGTCAGTTCCATCTTTTAAAAATTATACACTGGTGAAAATGTAGGACCAGAAATGGGGAACAATGGAGGTGCCGAGAGTGGAGCTTTAGAGTCTTCAAAGTCCCCTTCCTTCAAATCAGCAATGTTTGTTTCACCATCATTAAGCCCTGAATCTTAAGAGGTTCACTCCACGTACTGTTAAGTCTTACAGTAGCCATGATCTATAAAGTCTTTGCAAACTCTGGATTAGTGAAGACTGAAGCATTGCTCCTGCGTGAGCTCCCTTCCAGAAGCTGCTCACCTATCTTGATCAATAGGTAGCTTTGCCTCACATGGGTTCCTGTGTTATTAACACCACTGTAAATATTATAATGTTGGCTCACCGTGGTGAGTCCACAACTGGCATAGCTCAGTTCAGGCAAGGTCACAGCCCTTCTGTTTTCCCCTATGGCACAGAAGAGTCCCCTTTACCCTTACTACACTATACAGTTCTTTGACACCCTTCCTGAAGGCTACTGAAGATGGAAAAGTCACCAAGAGGAACACAAAAAATGTAGAAAGCCTGGAATCAGATAAGCCCTGTAGAGGCTGCTGTCCAGCGTGGACTAGGAAGGCAGAGCCTTACCCTGTTCAGCCTCATCTGGGCATGGTTATGTGGGGGTGACTCAAGATGATTGTTCTTCTGCACGTGTCTGTAAATGGTCATTATGCTCTGAGAACATTGATTTGTATGTTACCAAGAAAATTTAGCAAGCAGATGAATTCACAAATCAGTAGACAATGAAGCTTGACTGTGTCTCTGATTTCACATTATTAAAACACATCTTGATTGCCCTCAGGAAATGGAATTGAAAACGAACAAACTTTTGCAACCTTCCTAGAAGCCAATTAAAAGCAACAGCACCACAAAGTCCCTCCCCGTCCACACATGGGAATTTTTTTTCAGGTGGTTAGAGATGGGACATAGCAAAGGCTATGCCCAAAGCACTGTGGCCACTTGAAACATAGGTTTGATGACATGACAGGCCCCCACAAAGTGTCCTGACTATAAGGTCAGGTTTTATATTTCCAGTGAGAACTCCACAAAGGAGCATTACAGCAAGATGACAAGATGAAGCGTTATCTGCAAAGGGGAGGATTAGGTCTGACAGGACCACTTGGATTCGATTGGAAACATAATTTTCACTCAGTAATTTATACTATCTTTTTTTCTTCTCAGCCAGGCTGTGTGAACACAACGGAAATGGATATCAGAAAATGTCGGCGTTTGAAGAATCCACAAAAGGTTAAAAAGGTTCGCTAGTTGACTTGAATTACAACTTCCTGGTGGGGGATAGCCCTCTGTTCCTGGTGGGTGTTCACGGTGTTTTTTTTCTGTTTGTAATTCTGCTGCACTTTGTCTTTTAAAATAATTTTATTCACAGATTCCAGAAATACTCATTGGGGGGGCTTGTATGTTCTAGGCACTGTGCAAATTGCTGAGGTTCAGTTATAGGTTTGGGGGATCCCATAGTTCTGAAGCAAATGAAACCAGACCACAGGCATGGAGCCACTGTGCTGTATTAGGGGAAATAGGAAAGTTCAGGAGCCTTTGAAAGTGTAGCTGAGACAGAGTGGGGTATCCCAGGGGTTTTATGTAAGCAGGATCCTCTGAGATAGAGAGTAAATAGAAGATGCCTCTGGGGAGATTGCAGTGAAGAAAAGAAACCATTGGGGAAAAATATAGGAGAGCCTGCAGGTACAAAGAGCCTGGTACTCAGAAGCAAATGGGACTGTTTAAATAGAGCTGAATTGTCAAACCCATATCGCCATCTTGCCCTACTTTGAATGACCCCAGGATCCCTTGTATTTCACTAGACTAAAATGGGCAGTGGCCACAGCATCCCCATGGATACCGTACTCAGACTACCTTTATCAATACCTTCACCCTCTCCAAAGGCCACGCTACAGAAGAATGTGGCCATGCTCCGTAACACTGATTTCAGAAGGTTAACAGTACATCCTCAAATGTTGCCAACTCACGTGATGGCCAAGTATGAATTCAGAGCACTACAGATCAGAAGTGTTTCAGTGTTTGGAATGCTTGTAGATACCTCTTAAGCCGTCTTAGGGGGAAGGGCCCAGGTCTGAGTACAAAGCTTACTCATTTCATAGCCACTTGTGCATATAGTCCAACGGTAATGTTATGTATCATTTTCAGTGCTCCTATGCTTTGACCAGAACCTATTCCATATTCCATGAGATGAGGCGTAGAATTTTCCTCTTATGGTATTTGAGATTTGGGAAGATTTCAGATATTTAGACATGTATTAGTGGTGTGTGTGTGTGTGTGTGTGTGTGTGTGTGTGTGTGTGTGTGTGTGTCAGAGAGAGAGAGAGAGAGACAGAGACAGAGAGACAGAGACAGAGACAGGTGGACAGAGAGAGAGGGAGAGGGAAAGGGAGAGACAGAGACTGAAACCCCAGGTATGACTTCTTGCGATTACCTATGTTATTTGATTACTGGGTAAATAACAATACTATACTTCAAACCTAGTCTTGACTGTACTTATTTAGTCTTTAATGGCCCTAATTCTAAGATTCCCAGAGTTTTATCCAGCTACGTGTACATCATCTGAGCCTTTGTAATTGTGTAGATTTCAGCTATGCACGGCATGTCCTTCAGGGCTGTTTCTTTCTCTCTTCATAACACCACAGACTACTTGAAAAGCAGCCGTAGCTGTAGACTTGTGTGAAAATTGAGGCCAGAAAACGACTTAATTTTAAAAGGAGCATGAGCCAGGAAGCCTGTCATCTCAGCACTGTACCAGATGGGCTGTTGTTTCTAAGCTCAGTGTTGACCCCAAATCACCTGGGGTGTTTGTTTAAAGTACAGACTCCCAAACCCACTACTGAGAATTTTGATTCAGTCAGTCCAAGGTAGGACTCAGCAATGTACCTCTTGACCAAAGACGCCCAACTGATTCTTCAAAGTTAGCTGGCCTCTGGATTGTATTTAGGGAAACAGTACTACACATGGAAACCATTTTAGCTCCAGGAAATGAAGGATTTCCTCACTGTTGTAACCCAAAGAGGATGTGGTCCCTCAAGAGGTCTACCATGGGAGAAATTCAAGCAGAGTCAAGTCATTTGGCTGAATGCCATAAAGATAGTTGAAAGAATGAGATGAAGGGTTGGCTTCTGTGGCATCCATGGCACTGAGGGTACGTGATTCATATTTTTGTTTCATCTTCTAGTCAGTGTATGGTGTGATGGATGAGACCCAGTCACAGAGTCCAGTGCACATACCAAGCCAGCCAATCAGGAAAACTACAAAAGATGACATCCGAAAACAGGTGAGTGAGTGCGCACAATCCTTGCAGTGTGACCCATGGACGGCAGAACCCAGCTGCTGGATGACTTCAACCTGTGTGTGCTACCTGTGACACTTTTAAAAAAGCATGAGAAACTCTCCACCCTGAATCTCTAGCAGTTATTGAAAAGGGTGTGACTGAGCTATCCCAGTGGTGAGCAGGCTTTTGAGTTCAGGGCTTCCCAGTGTCTGCTGTGAGAGATAGGGAAGGAGAGGTAAACATCCCATCCTGGAGGAGTTAACATTAGAATGAACTCCCAGAATGCACTGGTCTAGAACCACTACCTCTATATTGCTAAGACTCAAAGGGGGGACATTAGAAATAAAGAGAGTTCCATCCCAAAGTCATCTCAGCATCATTTTCTGCTTATAACTCACAAATTCTTTTATGTCTTGATGAAGACGCCAGATTAACAGAGAGTGGCTAAAGGACATCACTCCCTTCTGAAGTTTACTCTTTATTATGCCTTGCTGTCTTCTGATGGGGTGGGCAAAGGAGTAACTTTAGATGCCTTTTTTCTGACAAGCTTAGGGCTAGGTGGAAAGAAAGAAGCAAGTGTAAAATAGCTACTAGTTGATCCTAGTTAAACGTAGTCAATACATGGGTGGGATATATACGTGGCTGAAGAACCATTACTGGGGTTTAGTCCAAAATATATGCTTGTAGTATACATATTGTCTATCTATTCTGCTGCCTAGGTTTTTGACTATGTGCTATCTTTCGACTGAATAATTTTAGAGGAAAGTAAAAATTAAATGATACTTATGAACAGGTGAAATTGAGATGCTAAACTGTTTTAGAATCTGAAGTGTGCCAGGGATTCCTGAAAGGGCAAATCGGTTGCAGGAGTTTCAGCTACAAGGTAAGAGTGTTGTCCACGGAGCTGTTTAGACCTTGGTGTGATTACAGGCTTTGCGTTCACGGGATGGAAGAAAATCAAGCTCTACTTTGGCCTCAGCACCCATGTTCTCTCTTCCCCCCCAGATAACGTTTTTGAATGCACAGATTGACAGACATTGTTTGAAAATGTCCAAAGTGGCTGAAAGGTAGGTACGCTGCCATCCTCCTGATAGTATTACCATGTGCATATTGTTACAGGGTTCTAGTTAACAAGTATATTCAGCTTCAGGAGACGGCCCATACTCACTCCTTCTATCTGAGGTGCATAATCCCCAGGCCCTGTGTGAGTGTAGCTAACAGGCCTCCACTGAGCAAGACTTACATTCTCTTCCGTAAGCTTCCACCAGAGGACCTTGTCAATCAGGGAAGAATACGTTTGACAAACTCCATCATGCACCTTTGCCCTCAGTCCCTTGGTTGATTCAAATGGAATCACTCCCCTTTCAGCTATAAAACGCCCAGATTCACTTTACAGGGGAATGAAATTGTGTGTGCCCTTTGAGGCGGCCACATAAACAAGAGGAGACTAGATCCTTGAGAGGTGTCCCTCCTCCACATACCAACAACCAATGAATGCATTGCATCAAGTATAAAGCAAACATCTAGCCCCTGCGGTCTGGCTTCCCCAGAAGCTCCTGGGCTATAATCTGCACTGGTAGCTGGTTCACTCTGTGACTTCCGTGGGAGACTCAATTTTATCAACTAAATGGTCTTTTTTTTTTTAACATTTCAGAAAAGAGACCACCTGGGGATTCTGTATGGAATAAATCTAATCAGGCAGCCAGAACTTAATACATATTCATCCATACGCTGCTGTAAAAGCAGTGTCCAATTTCTGAAGGAATCCAGGGTGTGAGTCAGGTTATTTACTGCGTAGCAGGGAACTGAATCCTTTAAGTTTAGAGCATGCAGGCTGTGTGACTCACCTGTAAGGCTTTCTCTGCTGACCCTGGGATAAGTCACCCACATCTTCTCTCTGGACAAATGGGAACTTAGAAAACTCCAACCCCAAATCCAAAGCCTGGATTCGTGCCCTGCTCAGGACACCAAGGACATCTGTAGTTTGGACTTATGGCATTTTTATGTCTATTTGTATGTTTGTCCTGTATGTGTATCTATGTGCACTCCCTCTTGTATGTTTGTTGTTATTGTTCTGGTACTGGGAATTGAACCTCACAAACCACAGGCAAGTGATGTACTACTACTAACCTATGTTCCCAAGACTCAGTCTCCTTTTTATTTTGAGAAGGGGATCTCACTAAGTTAGCTGGGATGACTTTGAGCTCCCTCTGCAGTTCAGCAGGCAAGCCTTGGACTTGGAATCCTCCTGGCTCAGCTTCCCGGGGAACTGGAATTACCTCTAGGTCCAGTCATTCAGATTTATTTTTTTAAATTATGGGTATATGTATTTATGTGGAAATATGCATGAGGGTGCGGCTGCCTACAAGAACTAGAAGAAAACACTGGATTCCATGGAGCTGGAATTACAGGTGGTTGTTAGCTCCCCAGTGTGGGTACAAGAAACCTCACTGGGGTTCTCTACAAAAAGCAGTATGTGTTCTTAACAGCTGAGGTATCTCTCTATCCTCCTGTTCGTACTTTTAATAATAAACTTAGTTATTGACATTCTAGGCCAGACGATGGCTTGTCCTATACTATGCATAAGAACATTATACAGCACTCCTAACCTTTATCCACTAGAGGCCAGTAGTGTCATCCCACCATTGTGACAACCAGCAATGTCTCAGAGCATTACCAAATGTGGAAAGGGACGGCAGCAAAATCACCCCTGTTGAGAATTATGGTGTTCCTACGTTCCATAATGCAGATCTCTCTCTCATAGTGCCAATGGCTAAAGCTCCCCATAACACAGATACCAATTACTCTAAAGTCCCAGGTATCGACAGCTGCAGGCTACAGACCGCTTCTCTTCCTCACTGTCAAAATGTGGGACTCCTGATCAGCCCACCAGGCTCTGCAAGGGCCTTTTTCATTCCAAACTGAGGATACCTTTCCTCCCATCCCTAAAGCTGCTAAGTTGCCTCAACTTCCCTAAGCCATGGCCATGAGAACACGAAGCCTCTGTTTGTGAGGCAAGGCATAGCAATGGCTGACGTGGCATGCTGTAGTATCTGTATGCAAGCTCGTATCTGGCTTGGAAGGGCTCAGAGGAGAGAGTGTACACAGCGCATTTTCGTCAAGTTCACATGTCCAGGGTCAATGTTCTGAGGCCAAGGTGGAGGGCTAAGAAATGGGAATTCTCAAACCCTTGGGCATAGACTCCGTGGTTCCAGGGGAGACTAAAACAAGCTGTATTTTGAGCTTCAAGTGGACTAATCTAATGTCTAGGGCCCTTATAATGCTACTGCAGCTATACAGGCCTGAGAACTCACTTCAGAGGGGCACTGAGTTCCAGCTTTGTCTTATCTTTGGGGTAACTGGAGAAGCCTAAACCAGTCATTGTGAGATACCAGTTAGAATGTGGTAGGTGATACGTCCCAGGAGAGCCTGCAGCAAAGGCAGGGAGTCTGGCAGGTCCCATTGTTTGTTTGTTTATGGGCTGTCTGGGAGGAGCCCCAGCTGGTACATCTAATTACACTTGAGAGGTGCTCACACAAGGGGTTATTCCAACCACAAGTCCCCAGCTAGACACTTCCAGGAGTCCAACCCCAGCAGAGGCTGGATTTTACTCCTGGCAGCAATAACTGACAACTCTTCAATTCGACGTGAGGGTTTTCATTAGAGCCACAAGCAAACTCCCAAAGAGCAGTGGGGAGAGCAGCCGGGTGTTTGCCAGAGATAAAGCAGCCCAGGCCTAGCCTGTCAGCTGCTATTCTCTGCCAGGAGGGGTTGGGGTGGTGGCACTGGCAGCTGGCCAAAGGCGAAAACTGAGCTCTCCTGGGTGAGCCACACAGTCCCATGCCTGGGATCTGGTTTCCCTGGGCCTGCTCCAGGTGATAAGTGTTAATTAGAATTGTGTCCCCCTGAGGAAAGGTCCCTGCCTTTTTTTTTTCCCCTACTTAGTTGCCTAAGAACCCAAGAGGTGGCCAGTTCAGAAAAAAGCAAGAACTGGGCAGGTTTAAAACCTGCAGCCAACAGTAAAGGGACACAGCCGTCAGTCAGCGGGTGTGTCTAGAGACCCACTCGGGCCGAGTTGAATCCTGCCTCCTCCGCCATTTCCTGTGCTCTCAATGAAGCAAGTTCCTCGGTCTCTGTTTCTGTTTGTCTTCTTTAAAAGAATAGTGTTGCTGGTTAGCCCACAGGGTTAATGAGTGAGCCCATGCTTGAGGTCTGGCTCCAGTTCTTGGGACTCAGGTCCCTCCCCAGCGAACAGGAAGGACTAGTAACTTTCCAAAGTGGTGATTAACAGTCCTTTTGACGGGAGCAAAATTCAGGTATATGAGACGGAAGGAGGAGGGAGACTGGCCTTGAAGATGATAGTTCTGTGTTAATGCCAGTCTTCCCAGCCAGCCTCTCTCCCTCCTCTCTCTGACTCCTATTCTGAAAGCCCTGCAGACTGTCCAAGGCCAACACTGTAGCTTACTCTGTACAGCTTCCCTTTTCTACCTTTTATACACACCAGCTAGGAGGGAGGGGTCGTGTATGGACGGACTGGCTCTTTAGATCTCCTCAGTTCATTGCAATTTCAAATATTCTGTGTGTTGTCCTTAACAGTATTTAAATGCCCCTGACACGTCAGCATTTGTGTACTTCGTAGGCTGCTTCTTGCGCTACCTAAATATGTAACCTTACTCTTGACACAGAAATAGCCATCAGTCACTATGTTAATTTGTATACAAATTAACTTCCCAGATAAATACCACTCACTAGTATGCTTTTTTGTCTTAACTACTTTAAGTGAGACTCTTCCTTAAATGTGGCTTCACAAAGTTGCCTTCCTAAAGAAAGAACACTGCCTTCTGGTTCATTTTTCTGGATAACTCGAGCCAGTGTTCTTATAGTTTGCTTTTAAACTCCTTTAAATTAAGTCCCAGATCTTCGGAGACAGCACACACACCTTCCCACACAAAATGGCAGCAGGATGCTGCGTTCTTTGAGTTTCTGCTTCAAATTTTTACACGTTGGTTCTCTTTCTTCCTTTCTCTTCTTTCTTTTCTCTTTCATTCTGTCTTTCTTTCTTTTTGTTTGTTTTGGTCTTGGCATTTGCTTGTTTGTTTGTTTTTGGTTTTGTTGTTGTTTTGTTTTGTTGAGACAGGGTTGGCAAAACCTATGCCTGCAAACCCTAGACATCAATAATAACTAATAATAAAACAGGACAATCATAGCAATGTATAACAGCAATGTAAATGCAACCTCTCTGAGAACTCCCGAGTACTCATGTAAAGGAACTGTAAAGGACACACTTTACAGCTTTTCTCTGGTACCTCTGGATTACATGCATTACCACGCAGTGCAACTTGATGCAGCAGTCAATAAAACAAGGGTTAGTTCAGCATTGCAATTCCACAACAGTGAATCCAATAACACACAAATTAAGTGACATGGGAGGTAGCATACACAGCATGGAAACGCTGGGCAAAATTCATGTCTTGGGTGGAGATTTTATCACACTACTCTGGCCAGCGTGTGACTTTAAAACATATGAATTATTTGTTCCTGGAATTTTCCATTTAGTATCTCCCGACTGTGGCTTATCATGGGTAACTGGAGTTGCTGGAACAACAGTATGTAGAAGAGGTCATTACTTGATGGACGTTTGCCCTTTCTCAGGTGTCTATTCGCCAACTGGTTGCATGGGCTAAGCTGCATGCTTGCTGGCAGCTGTGACTGTGGTAGGAAGCTCTGCTGATCCTGGCTGTCTGTCTCATGTATGTGACTTCTAACCATGTCGGACAGCCTCAACCAGGACAGTTTTATTCTCTTTTACATCAGCCCTCAGTCTCAAGCAGGCTAGTTTGATATCACTTGCACAGAAACCACAAGACTACAAAAACAAAGCAGACACATGCAAAACCCAGGTCACAAGCCCCGATTATATTAAAAGGCTGGAGTATTACAGCCCATTTTAAAAATCAGTCCACAACAGCAGACAGTGAAATTACAATAGCTCTGATCCTAGAGCACTGGTTTTCAACCTGTGGGTCATGACCCCCACAGGAATCACATATCAGATATCCTGTATATC